GCAACCTTTTTGAGCTCCTTGGAAACTAAGGCATGAACAATATCAAGGTTAACTACACATGCATGTGGCTGTATGATCAAAATCACTTTATATCCTGTCCTAAAACACTACAATGAGTATGCATGTCTCTGTGTTTTACACCACAGCAGTATATCATGTGATAAAGATGATTTGGACTACATGAGGCTGACAGATCTGCCATCTGTCCCAGGCTACTGACCCGCAGGCTGGCATTTCTGTTTAAGTAGGGTGGATTTATTTTCCCAGGGAATGTCCCAAACCTCAAACAAACAAACCTCCGTCTGTGGAGAGACAGAATGGGGTGATTAGGACCGAGAATGTGGATTGTAAATTTACAAGAACTGCATTTCTTTGCAGCAGATGGGCAAGTTCAACTTTTGCCAAACTTCTGGCTAATTTTTGAACAAAAACATGGGGTTATCATACTGGATTTGAATTATTTTGAACATGAAATCAAAATCAAAATCGCAAACATGCTAATAATGGACAAAATTAAATTCCACCCTAAATGGGTTGTGTGCTGTGTATTGACTGTTACAGAATCATCTGAATTTGCCATTACAAGACACTGAGTAGTGATGTTTTATATGGCTTAAGAATTAGTATTTGCTCACCTTCTGTTTGTGAAGCTCTGGGAAAAAGTCACAGGTGTCCACACCACTCAGCTTTAGAGATTTCTTACACTGAGTGCTTCCAATCTCAACCATAATACTGTACCGAACACCTTTTACCAGCTGTGGAAGACACAAAACAGAAATTAAAGACTATTTTTTTTCAATGGAGGAATAATTATAGTTGTGGAATATCAAACTTCTATAAATAATCTTAATACATTTGTCACATATTTCAATAAAGATGGACATTTAATAGATAAAGATTTATAGAAACGTTCTAATAATTCATATAAATAAATACACAATTGTTTATATCACAAGCTGCAAGAATTTATGGTATTTATACAACAGTAGGCTTTTCAACAGCTTTTAAATATACCGCCCTGATGCTTCTTGTATTCTTCCATCTGTGTAACATTTCTGTAGTTAAAGCTGCAGTCCGTAAGTTTTGCCTCTTTGTCGCCATCTCTCTTTGAAAACCTGCAATTGTATGGGATTACATCTCTGCCGCAATTCTGCGTGCGAAAGATCATATTTTGAGCACGCAAAAGTGCGTTTTGTGGAGAAAATGTTTGTCTTGCGAAGAAGAAAGTATTTGGAGCGCACGAAAATCAATTTTGCATTTAAAATAAGTTTTTGGATGTGTGCAGACCTTCTCTTTAGCGCGTGCAACGTTTCACTAGCTTTCTCACCTGATGCCCGCCCTAAAAAAAAATCACAAAATGTTGTGAATGGTTGTCAAGGCAGCCAATCAGAATTTAGCAGCCTCGTCTCTGATTGGCTGGAATTATAGCATATTTT